CACGTTTCTAATTTTTTTTTTTTTTTTTTTTTTTAGAGGGAATAGCTGTATTCTTGCAGATGAAATGGGTCTGGGCAAAACAATACAAACAATTTCTTTTCTGAACTACTTGTTTCACGAACATCAACTGTATGGGCCTTTCTTGCTGGTTGTGCCACTTTCTACCTTGACATCTTGGCAAAGAGAGATTCAAACTTGGGCTCCTCAGATGAATGCTGTGGTTTACTTAGGAGATATAACTAGCAGAAATATGGTGAGTATTTCTCTTTATCATTGTGTATAAAAAAAAAGGCTTGTGTATAAACAAAACTCACATCATATTCCTGTACTCTGCTAATCTCCAGTATTTTGGTTAGGACTGAGCAAATACTGAAACACTATTTGTTTAAGACGCAAAATTGAAAGCTTAGATTTTGATCTCATATAAATGTGAGTGAAAGATTTTCTTCCTACTTAATAGCGAACAGGATTAAGAATTTAGTCTTGCATTTGAAAACAAATTACCTTCTGCCATATGATTATTTAGGTGGATATAGTAAAAATAAATCTGTAAGCAAACCAGTTGTGATCTTAATTTAGTTTCTGAAAGTTTGTTGGTTTGTTTTCTTAATGTTTTCTGATTGATAAAGTAAAAATGTTTTGTGGAAATTCTTTGCTATTTATTCAGAAGTTTAAACAAAACATTTTTTGAGTGCTTAGACAGGTTGGAAGTTCAGTCTTGTGTATGTTAATATGTTGTGCTTCTGTTTTGTGATCATGTTGTTGTATGTCATTAAATATTTACATTGCTGCAGTACTTAAATTCATCCCAGTGAACAAGAGCTTTTGTATCTAGCTTATAGTTCACTTGATTCTCTTTGTAGATTAGAACTCATGAATGGATGCATCCACAGACCAAACGATTAAAATTTAACATACTTCTAACAACATATGAAATTTTGCTGAAGGATAAGGTAATCACACTTCTCAGGGAGATAAAAATAATTTATCCAGTGTAGAACTGTCTTTAGACTTGCATGTATTTGGATTGTGTATCATGAAATTTATGGAGAGTGTGATAGCTTCTGCTTTTGGAAGTATGACAGTGCGTGGCTTGGGTTTTGGGGGTTCTTTTGTGTGGGAGATTTTTTTAATGCTTTTATATTTTCTGTATGTGTGCTGAGGCTTTCAGCCTTTTTCCATTTCGTTAAGCGGGTAACACTTCTCTTTCTCTAGTCTGCTTGGGATTCTCGTTACCACAATAATCTCCCATCTTCAAGAGCTCTACTTCTTTGCAGACCACCATCAAGGAACTGAAAAAGAACCAAACCCCTAGCCCAAAACGTGATATAGAACTCTGAAATCCCATATAGTTTTTCTTTGTTATTTTGCATACAGTAGTATGACTACATGTATTAATAATGTCTGCATAGTGTGAGCACACACAGTTATTGTTAATCCTTCTAACAGTATATGGAAACTTTCATAGATAGTCAAGAAGTAGAACGTTTTTACTTCATTTATTTGTACATGATGGGAAGAAGAGGTCAATAGTGATTTGTTTTTTCTGTCATGTAAGACTTAATGTGTATCAAACTTTTGGCCATTTTTTTTCTTTATAAACTTAATTTATACTTTCTTGGGATGCTTACACAGCCTTTCATTGCATCTGGCAAACGTAAAAACCATAATTAGTACTAAAATTGTATAGCTGTCCATATTTTATTAAAATAAACCAAAAAAGTGATGGTGTTTATAGTGTGATTATAAACTATGGGAAATTATGCAATGTGTTTATTTGTATAATGTTCCCTCCCCTCCTCCATTTCTTTAAGTCATTCCTTGGTGGTCTGAATTGGGCGTTCATAGGAGTTGATGAAGCTCATCGTTTAAAAAATGACGACTCTCTTCTGTACAAGACGTTAATAGACTTTAAGTCTAACCATCGTCTTCTTATTACTGGAACCCCTCTGCAAAACTCCCTCAAAGAACTTTGGTCTTTGTTGCACTTCATCATGCCAGAAAAGTAAGGAAGAGTTTTACATGATTCTTTTTAACATTTTTTTTTCATCAAGTTTCTTATTGTGAAGTATTGTAGTGATTTGAAAATCAATAGATGTAGAGAATCATACTGAAAGATAATTTAAGTATTCTATATAAAGTAGATGCATGTATTTTTTTCATGCTGTTCCTGATAAGTAATGCTGGTAGCAGTTGTCACACTTTTCTATTTGAGCAGTCCACAAAAATGATGGATTAATGCGTGGGTCAGAACCTGGAAAAAAGTCTTCATCTTAGCCTTATAGGAACACCGTATGATTTACTCTGGAGAAATAGAAGGGAATTTTTCAGTGTTAGTACTGTTAATGGAAACAAATTTGTACGAAATGCCTAATATCCTGTAGTTCAGTCAGCTGGTTTTCCCATATGGTTTGCATACCATAAGCTTACTGTGCTGACCTTATTTTGTACTGACCTCTATTTATACCTAAGATAAATTAGAGCTCGTGTGAGAGCACATATTTCTGTCTGACATTTTGTAAATGCCAGCACCATAGTTCCATTTAGTTTGAGCTATGGACTGTACTGACTTCTTCAGAACCTTAGAAACAAAGCAATTATGGTCCGGTACCCATTCTTCATTTGGTCATAAAGAGTGTTCTCCTGGTCTGTAAGCACAGAGGATAGTTAGACTTCAGCTAGACCATATAAGCTGAAAAAATTACATTAAGTAGTCTCTTGTTCTCTTGCACACCATCAAGCCATGCAGCTTTTTTTTTTCGTGTTGCTTTTGATAAATGTAATAATGTAATTTCAGCAACCATCTAGTTGAGTATCCGTGCAGAAAAAGAAAAATGTTGCGTTTCCATTGGGGAAGTTAAAATACAGTAGTTTTCATTCTGTAAATATTTTTTGAAAGTTCCATTCTTCTATTTACAGGCAAAGTATTTGGAATTTCTTGTGAGATGAAAATTCGAATATGTGTGTGCTCTTGTCGTATATTTATACACATTCTGTAAAATCCTGAATTTTGCTTCTTCACATCATTCTCAGTATGTCACTATTTTGCCTCATTCTTTATTATGTTGAAGGTTTTCCTCCTGGGAAGATTTTGAAGAGGAGCATGGCAAAGGGAGAGAGTATGGTTATGCCAGTCTTCACAAAGAACTTGTTGCTGAGAAGAGTTAAAAAAGATGTAGAAAAGTCTTTACCTGCTAAAGTTGAGCAAATTTTGAGGATGGAAATGAGTGCATTGCAGAAGCAATATTACAAGTAAGTAACAACACATTTTAAATTGTCCTGTTTTAGTGTTATGTCTACATGCAATTTACTGAAGTATAGTAGTTTTTATAATGCAATTTGAACTTGAGACTTCTAGGGTTTCACACCACTAAAATTCTGTGAAGCAAGGGCTCAAGAATTACACTGGTCTGATGTCTATTCATGTAGCTTCTTTTGTTTGGCATGTTAGTACGTTCTTTTGAGAGATGCTTTTTTCTTTAGCTTGTTTATATTTTGAGAGCTTACCTCTGTCTTGCTTTCACATATGGTTAGAATTTACTGATACTGTACATCTTATATCATAGGTGGATTTTAACCAGGAATTATAAAGCCCTCAGTAAAGGTTCAAAAGGCAGTACCTCAGGCTTTTTGAATATCATGATGGAACTCAAGAAGTGTTGTAACCATTGCTACCTCATTAAACCACCAGATGATAATGAATTCTATAATAAACAGGAGGCCTTACAGGTAATGTCACTTCTAATTAAATTAAAATTTTTAATTTTAATATTTTTCTTAAAAATTTTTTTTTTTAAATTACATCTGTAATATTCACACAATTTTATAGTGCTCTGGCAGTTTTTATTAATTCTTATTGCAGTATATTAAGAAAAAACAGGTTCTCTGGAAAATGTGCATCCTGGGTTTTACAGGTAAGTGAATTGATTCTTGTTTCTTAATTGGAAGTGAATAATTGACTAAATAAAATATTCCTGCTTTTAATTACAATCAAAGTAAAAAGGAAATAGTTTGAAACAAGCTGTGTATTTTCATGCAAAATAAAATTGAGACCTATTTTAAACCTAAGTAAAATAAAGCAGCTAAGCAGGTAAATATAATGTGAGTGGAAGTGCATGTGACCGGCAGTGATACACCAGCAGTCTGTGTGACAGCAGAAAGTGATCTGCAGGATGCTTTTAAGCCTTTTTTTACAATCGGATACCTTTCTTTGTATGCCTGCAAACGACCAAAGTGAAAGGAAATAAAAATAACAAGTATTCAAAGCTCAGTGTGATTTTGCTGTTGTAACAGATAAAAATAATTATTGTCACTACCAAAGATAGTATGTTTTTCTGTTTCTTTTTTTTAAGGTTAACTAATATTTGTACCAAAACTATTGAGAAGCACAGCAACAGCTAAGACTGTTGTTGTTGATGCAGTTTATACCAGCATAAATGTTTCTAAAGACTTTTTTTTTCTATAAGCTTTCACATTGATAATTTAAATACCTTCCCAAAGCTACTGGTTTGTGCAGTGACAAATATCCTTCTCCTTTCTGGCATAAAGAATAAAAGTACCTAACTCAGAATTTAGCATTTGCTGAAATTCTGACCAAAGTGTCTTCTCCTAAAGAGGCCTAATGTTTTGAGCATTAAACTTCACATTTGCTTGAATTCCTGTTCTAGTAATTCCCAATGGAGGTGAGAAGGCTTAACAGGCTTTAGGTGGGTTACATTGTGAGGCACCATAAACAAGATTCCTCTCACTTTATCTTGCCTGAGAAACTTGTTAAGCAGCAGTACGGACTCTTTTAAAAAGAGAGGAAGTGAAGAGAAAGTAGTACTAATACAGTTTTTTCTTCATTGTACTTTTTATTGATTACCAAATTTTAATATTTTACACGACAGAAAATAACTTGAGCCTGCATCATAACTGCTTACATTTTCAAGCCCATATATTTACTTCATGTTTTGATGAGATGTTAAGATATGACTTTGAGAGGGAACTGAACAGTATTTTTCCTTCAAAAATAAGAGAGTTAATAATCCGGTAAATTTTGGTTAGAATCAACTAAACTAAAATCAGCATAAACTTTTGTGTTCAGTTAATGCTGCATACTAGGAAATTTATATAGCGGTGCTATTTTATGGTCACATGAATTTGGTGTTTTGATGTGGTTTTGAGGGTTTTTTTATTTCTAGGAGACTATACATAGTCCATGCATGTTTTAAACTGTAAAATTCTTAAGGAATGTCATAATTTCCCCTTTTTTCCCTTCCCGCAGCAATAGAAAGAAAAGCAAACCTCAAATGAAGGTCTGACCCACTGCAGTGTGTATTAGTGTTGAGATGAACTTATTTTGTAATAGGTATTTCTTGTTTTTTGTAGCATTTAATACGTAGCAGTGGGAAACTAATCCTTCTTGACAAGCTACTGATTCGTCTGCGAGAACGTGGCAACAGAGTTCTGATTTTCTCACAGATGGTGAGGATGCTGGACATCCTAGCAGAATATCTGAAGTATCGTCAGTTTCCATTTCAGGTAAGAATCTAGCCAAGAAGCTTTGATCTTGAATATAAGAAAAATCTTTTCTTTACTGTGAAGGTGACTGGAGCACTGGAGGAAGTTGTGTAGAGGTTATGGAATCTCCATCCTCTGTGACATTCAGAAGCTACATGGACGTGACCTTGGGCAACCTGCTTTAGCTGTCCCTGCCTGAGAGACAAGATGACCTCCAGAGGTCCTTTTCCACCTCAATTGTTTTATGCTTATGTGTTCTTTACTGCTTTGCTTAAGAAAACATGTGAGAAAAAGTGTTGTTTTTCAGGAAAGATTGGCAATTGCTATATGCTAAACAATATTTTGAAATTAAACTGATAGATTAAAACATTCTGAAGTGTTGTGTTACTCTTTTTTTTTTTTTTTCCCACTTAGTTTTGGCAGTTGAATATTCAACTTGCTCTCATTTTGAATATAGTGTAAGAATTACTTTTTAACTATAGTATTCAATCTCTTTAGAGACTTGATGGATCAATAAAAGGAGAATTGAGGAAACAAGCACTGGATCATTTTAATGCAGAAGGATCAGAGGTATGGTATTTTTTTCCTAAGGAATCTGCTTTATTTTTTCCCAAGAAATACAAAATACATTGCACAAAAAATGACAGCTAAGAAAAGTGAGGAATATATCAATAAGGTTGAAAATTTACTGTTACTGCCTAGACTATAAAGTTTACATCTGCTAATTTATTTTTTGATCTCTAAGAAAAGATTAAGTAGAAAACACATAACTTATGAAAATGGTATTTAATCAGTTGTGGGCTAATTTTTTTTCTTATGCTCTTTATCAAAGCAATGTTAATTACTATATAAATGCTGCAGAAATTTAACCTCAGCCTTGTTGCTGTGAAGAATTTAACCCAACAATGTTTAGAAGACCATTGAACTTACACAAACACTTAGCATCAAAAACATCCTTTGGCACTGTGTATATCCTTTCATGAACAACCATCTTTGTTTTAAATCTGGCTTGTTATCTTCATTTGGTGCCACCTACTTACTTGCCCTGGAAGAAATAGTGAAGAACTAATTTCTAGCCATTCTCTGAGAAGCCTGTGAATATATGGGCGTCTGTTACAGGTTGTGTATTCCTTAGTTGGAAGATTTGAAGCTTGTTTAGCATTCCTAATACACAAGCCATTCCATACCTTTGATCAGCTTAAATCTTTTGTCCTACACTGGAAGATTTGGGGGAGGGGAGGTTGTTTTTTGTTTGGGGTTTTTGTTTGGTGGTTGGTTTTGTGGGTTTGTTTTTTTTTAAATCAGTTAGTTGAAGGATAGCATTTGTCAGTTGCTGCTGAACTTGTTTCTGCTATGATGGAGGGAGAAGGACTTAACTCAGTAAGGTAAATTTTAGATATTTGTTAAATACAAAAGTTAATTCTGTTTCAAATTTCTAGCATTGACATTGTTGCCTTTCTCTGGAATCTTTGTAGTTACACTGTGCATTTTTTGAGACAAAAAGGAATTTAAACTTCATGCATTTCAAAAGTGGAAGGAAGCTATGCATTTTGCAGCAACAAAATTAGGTTCTTAGTTTTATTTTTTACTTGTTTCCTCAAAATTCAAAACATTCCACATGGTTTTTGCCATTACTGAGCTAAGTTCTACATGGAAATTTCTAACACAGTTCTCAGGACTCATTCCTGAGTGTAATAGCTTGCTATTTCCTGGAACTGTACTGAAAATTGGGATTTTTTTTTTTAACCTGTTTTACTTTGTCTTGAATTTCATATGTTGTTTTATTTATTGGATGTCTCAAGATCCTTCTGCAGTCCTTCACAGTTGTCTCTGAATTAATAATTCTATATCCTCTCCAGACTTTTTCACCTCATTGCTTATTCCATTTTCATATTGTTCATGAATATGTTGAACAGCATTGAACCTGGCAGAAGACTTTTGCTTCCTGTCTCTCAACCAGTTACCTGTAGATTCAAGCATCTTCCCTGCTCTGACATGGCTGCTTAGTCTTCCAGGGCGTGGGGCAGGGGATGTGGGAGAGGGACGTTGTAACGCACAAGGCTTTAACAGTAGGGCTTTTGTACCTTTTGGACAGTCTTTTGTTGGGATTTTTTGGTTGGTGATCACCTTCTAGGACCCTGCTTCCTTTAAACTGTTGAGAAGCCAGTAACCGTTTGTGAAAGAAACAGGTATCAGTGTTTGCTTGATACTTAAAGAAGCTTTAACTGTAGAGCAGTTACAGAATTGGTAGTATATGATTTTATAGTTGCATCACAGACTGCATAAACAAGTGTCATATTGGTTCCTTTAAGAATATTAAAACTATTGTATATAAAACTGTTTCTTATATTATGATTTCAGGACTTCTGCTTTTTACTGTCTACTAGAGCTGGAGGATTAGGTATCAACTTGGCATCTGCTGACACTGTAGTTATATTTGATTCTGACTGGAATCCACAGAACGACCTGCAAGCACAGGCTAGAGCGCATAGGATTGGACAGAAGAAACAGGTACGCACATCCAGCTTTAAGCTCCACACCTGAAGGAAGGTTCCATACAGTAGCTGTGATGTATGGATGGGAAAGGGAGAAGAGTTGTGGGCTTGTCTGCCCTGCATTCATTGGCTTCACATCATTCTAGAAAATAGCTACTACATCAGCCGTATCCGCCTTGCTTAAGTATTTCTTGGTTCTCATCAGGTTTCTTTCTTGCAGAAAATATACAGTAATAACTGGAAATATGACAGTTTTGCCTGTGGCAATGCTTGTGCCAAATCACTGAAGTTTAAAAAAGACAGGTCTAAGAGTTTACTTCTCTGTCTTTTTAAAATGCTTATGTAAAGACTGTAATAACATGATTGATTTAATATTTCATATTTGAAACCAGTCAAAACATTCAGAAGACATGTAGTGAAGAGTGAGATTTCTCCTTGTTGTTTCTTACTTCTTTTAAAACTATACATAGGTTAATATTTATCGGCTAGTCACAAAAGGATCAGTAGAAGAAGATATCCTTGAAAGAGCCAAGAAAAAGATGGTGTTAGATCATTTAGTAATTCAGAGAATGGACACTACAGGGAAGACTGTACTGCATACAGGCTCTACTCCTTCAAGGTATATTTGTATTTATTTCCGTATCAATTTATCCTTAGGTATATTTGACAAGTAAGTAAAAATGCAAGTTATTTTATTTGCTTAATGAAAGGCAAAATAAAGTTAAATAAGTAAAGATGCAAAGTATATAGTCTTTGTAGATTTTTATTTGCATGTTAAATATATATTAAAAATATATATAGTTTTTATTTAACAGTAAAAAGAAAGCTTAATTGACTCATGATTATAGAGAATTTTTCAAGTTACTAAGATAAAATGTTTTTCCTGAAACATCCTTAATTTCAGCTCAACACCTTTTAATAAGGAGGAGTTATCAGCTATTTTGAAGTTTGGTGCTGAGGAACTTTTTAAAGAACCTGAAGGGGAAGAACAGGAGCCCCAGGTAAGTAGTGTTTCTGGACTAGAACAACCAAAAATATATATGAATTACTTCATTGTAAAGAGAAACTTCTTTTTTTAGGAAATGGATATAGATGAAATCTTGAAGAGGGCTGAAACTCGGGAAAATGAGCCTGGTCCATTAACTGTGGGAGATGAGTTGCTTTCACAGTTCAAGGTATTGCTCTGTTCCCTCCCTCCTGCCATAATTACACTTTCCTTTGTAAATGATACTGTTTTTCTTCTGTACCTATCCATCTCTTCATTGTTACAAAATAAATGCCTCGGTCAACTCTGTATCTCTAATAAAATGTCTTTTCACTTATACAGGATATCTACTAACAGTATAAACATTTAAAAACCCATGATGTAAATTTTGCTAATAAACTAGGAGCTATTTATGAATGTGTTGATGATTATAATTCTAGGTGGTTTGGTTTTTTTATTTACTGCCTCAGTTGTTAACCAGCTGTGGTATTGTTGAGCACAAAATATAAAGTTTGCATTTCTTTGTCAAGGACTACTAGAAGTAGCTTTTAGCCCTCAAGTAAACTTGAATGCCAGCAATTTTAAGTATTTTCAGTTAAACATATTATAATTTGGGTGCAAAAAAATGCAGAGCATGATACATTTGTTTAGATCATCAGATTATTAAATAGGTCTCCTGGTGGTTCATTTGCAACTTATTTTGATTTCTACGGTGTATTAATGCTTGGTTAGTTTTATATTATTATAGTTTCACATTAACTTGGGTACTCAAATATTGTTAGCCTTATTTTGAAGGAGGTGTAAACAACAATCATACAGCTACTGGGGACGTGTTTCATTATGCATCTGTATTAGTCAACTTGTAAAAGAAGGAAAAGATGCTTATCTTTTCTCATCTTAGCCCATGTTGTATGGAGTCCATGTCTCTTTCATAAATGGATAAAAATACTTTTATTAGAGACAGTGTTTCATGAAGCATTTTGCATGTATAGATTTTGTATGTATTATAAAACAATAGCATGTGTAAATACATAAAATATATAAATGCTTAAAAACGTGCAATCTAGAACTTTGTTTTCCTAAAATATTAGTTGGTCAGTCTTTTTCAAATAGTCATGTATTGATTTGATGAAAATACCTATATTCTGATATACAAGGTGGCCAACTTTTCCAATATGGATGAAGATGATATTGAGTTGGAACCAGAAAGAAATTCAAGAAATTGGGAAGAAATAATTCCAGAAGTCCAGCGGCGAAGAATAGAAGAGGAGGAAAGACAAAAAGAACTTGAAGAAATATACATGCTCCCAAGGATGAGAAACTGTGCAAAACAGGTGTCTCTTGGTTCTGACTGGCTTATACTTTTATGTTGCTGTTGGCTTAGGTTTTTTGTTGGGGATTGTTGTTGGGTTTTGCATTGGGTTTGGATTTTTCTCCCTTTTCTGAACACGTATTTTTGACAGGCTAGGAAAAGCTTTACTTATGTATGTTAATCACGTAGCTTTGAACTACTTATTCTGAAATTCCAGATCAGCTTTAATGGCAGTGAAGGGAGGCGCAGTAGAAGCAGAAGATACTCTGGGTCTGATAGTGACTCCATCTCAGAAAGAAAACGGCCAAAAAAACGTGGAAGACCACGAACTATTCCTCGAGAAAATATTAAAGGATTTAGTGATGCAGAGATCAGGCGGTAAGATATGGAGAAACATGTATGCTCAAAGACTATTATTAGTATTTTTTATTAGTATTATTATTAAGCTTGAAAGTTTAGAAGGCAGTTTATTTTCCCTGAATTTATTTGAATTTTTTTTGTTCTTGGCATTTAACGTTTTACTTTGTGTACCTTGTGGTGGTGACACAATGAACTATCATGGCAAGAATTTAAACCCATGTTAGTGAGGGAGAAAATCAGATTTGAAAAATATTCTTGATTGTTTTAAATTTGTTAGTTCCTGCAACTCATGAAGACAGTGATTTTTAAAAAAAAAAAAGTTCTTACAATGAGTGAGCTTTATTCTTTAACATACAAGCAGAATCATTTGCTTCCCTTCATTTTATCTAAAAACTGCAGTGCTGAAAGGATATGTAAATCTTTTTGGTGACAACTATAAAAATTTTGAGTGGATTTTGTTTACTTTTTAAACTTCTTGGTGCTAATTGAATTAATGTTATATCCTGCTTTTTTACACTAAGAAATATAAAATCCTATTTAAATCTTGCTCAGCAGGTCCCTTCAATATTTGGTGCTAAAAGATTTTTTTTATTGGTAGAAGGAGGAGGAGTTTTGTTTTCCCTTTTTGGGTTTGTGAAATGCTATTTTGCTTCTAAAATTTAAGTATGCATGTTTCTAAAAGGCTGTAAAGCTTTTGAAATATTTTTGGTTAGAGAAATAACTTCAAAGATCCTTTTTGCCTTTCCATTTCATCTAACAACACAGCGAATTGGTGCTTCTTTTTCCAGGCTATTCTTGTGCTTGCAGTAGCAATTTGAGGCCTTGATTGTTGAGGAAACATTATTACTTTTTTAAAAATCATTTTAATTTCTTTTATTTTTGTTTCATTTCCTTAATATCCCAGGTATCTCAAGTTTCTTTCCATCACTTACACTTTCCTACAGAGAGTATCTTTCATGTCATGTTTTCCAAAATCTTCAACTCACCTGTTGCAGATTGCTCCTCTTACTATATAAGGCATAACATAATGTCTGAATCTCCATGTACTGCAAATCCACTTTAAATTTTTATGATTAGGCACATCCAGCTGCTGGATCTTCTGTCTTGTGAAATTAATAAAGCAATTTCTGAAATAATTTGTACCTCCTATTGTTTTATTTACATCAGTTCTTAAACCAATAAAACTCTGACTTTCAGTTATCTGGGTATACTATGCTGCCCTACTCTTTCTGCCTTTTTTTTTTTTTCCATTATCCATATAGCATTATACTAAGATTAATACTTGTATTAATACAATTTTAAATCCACTGTAGTTAGTTCAGCATACGTTTAAATGCAAAATTATTTTCTTTGACTAGGTTTATCAAGAGTTACAAGAAATTTGGTGGCCCTCTTGAAAGGTAAATCTGTTTCATTATTACTTGTGTAGCAACTTGGAGCCTTGTTTTCATAAAAATTAGAATATACTAAGAAATCTTAGGCTGAAGAGAAAGTACAGTGTCTAGTCTTTTGCCTTGACTATAATATGACTTTAGCTTAACATCGTCCCTTTCTGCATGTATGGTTTGTATTTAAACAGCCACACATCAAACCTTACAATTTGCAGCACTTGTCTGGTTTAATCTTTATTGGTGATAATCATGCAGTTGTCTTTGCTAGCCTGTTGAAAACCTATCAGTTTATCCACTATGACTGTCAAAGTTAGTTCTGAATTTTCCTTGTTGTCAGTTCTTATTTTTAAGCTTCAGTATTCCATATTTTTAAAAAAACTTTCCATTCTTATTTTCCTTAAAAATATAGTCCATATGAATTATATTATGTTATATATAATGATTCCTTTTATTATTTTAGAGATGTACAGTAATTTAAATCAAAACTGTAGGGTTAGGATCCTTTACAGTTCTTGTATTGTCCTCTGATACCATAATCACTTTTTCTTGGATCAAAATTGTATGCAGCATAGCAAGTGCAGGTGACTGATAATTTATATGATTACTTCTCTAGTTTCAAAGTCTGAAGGAGTCATTCACAATTGTAGTTTCACAGCTATAAAAATGTGTATTTGTTTTATTACAGGTTAGATGCTGTAGCTAGAGATGCCGAGCTAGTTGATAAATCAGAGACAGATCTTAGACGTTTGGGAGAGCTTGTACATAATGGATGCATTAAAGCTTTAAAGGACAATTCATCTGGACAAGAAAGAGCAGGTACAATTGAGGGGCAATAAAAATTGCCAAGTCTGAATTATTCTTGAACTTTGATCGTAACAGAAAACAGTTTTATTGGAGGAAAATATAAACAAAAATGTTGGCATGCTGGGTGATTTAAAAAAAGTATTATAGTAAGATGGCTGGTTTTGTTTTTTTGTTTTGTTTTTTGTTTTTTGTTTTGTTTTTTTCCCCTTTCTTTGTGTGAATTGTCATTGGAGGATGCAACATGTTTTGCTTTACTGTGAAATTTAAAAGTAATCTGTTATTATCTGGAAGACCTTTTGACTCTGGAGCTTAATTCAAGCAGTTAGAAAAAGTCATTTGATATAATTGAAAGTTTGCTGCTATAGCATCAATCTTGTTTTCTTTACATTTTTCTGAATGATATTTGTAAAGGTAAATATTTTAATAGTTTTGTCATTTATTCTTAGGAGGTAGACTTGGGAAAGTTAAAGGCCCAACATTCCGAATCTCAGGAGTGCAAGTGAATGCAAAGCTAGTCATCTCTCATGAAGAAGAGTTGGCACCATTGCACAAATCCATTCCTGCAGATCCAGAAGAAAGAAAAAGGTACTGATTTTTTTTCTTTTTTAAAGGAAGAAGTAATGTAGAAAACTGTTAAAGTTGTTAGCTTTTTTCAGACAGCTTTGACTCAAAGCACACTGTGATAGTATTGTCCCTCTATGCCATGTAAGGACTGGCAGCAGTAACTTGCTCCACATCTGTTCTTCTTTCTTCCCTGGCCATGGAAGCCAGTACCAGCTTTGCTTTCTCAATTATATTCACTGGGTACTGTGTTCAATTACTAATAACAACTAGGACTAGAATTCAGGCTTGCTGAGGAGCTGCTGTACGTCGTCTCTGCTTCAGGGGAAAGCAGTATTTGACAAAGCACAGCAGCAGTTATTTCTACCCTCTGAACTTTTTCCTTTGTCACCTTGTGTATCACAAACCCTAAACTATCCACTTAGTTAGCAGTTACACTTGAATGATGATTTATGCTTTTATTCATGGTTAGCCAACTCTGACGCAGCTCGTGGCCACAGAGAGATGTCTGTTGTTCTTCATATTTTAGTCTTGATCAGCTTTAAAACACATTTCAGTGCTGATTTCAATAAATATTTTATAGAAATGTTAAGAAAATATAACAATAAATAATTGTATTAATTTGTTAAATATATCAGCATCTTACCAGAGAAAATTAATCTTGTTACATAGCTTTTAGTATGTTCCCTCCCCCCTTGCTAAGCTTCAGAAGTAAAAATCCCTTATTTGTCTTTCTAATTTATTTCTGCTAGATATGTCATCCCATGCCACACCAAGGCTGCTCATTTTGATATAGACTGGGGTAAGGAAGATGATTCCAATCTGTTAATAGGCATCTATGAATATGGTTATGGCAGCTGGGAAATGATAAAAATGGATCCTGATCTTAGTTTGACACAGAAGGTATGTCATCTACAACATTTCATCAAGGACTCTTTTTGTTTAGGTAATAACGCTACTAAGAACAGTTACTGAAAGAGCTTATTTTATGATAACTGAAATTGGAGAGACACATGTCAGTTGTACTTCTTAGGATCCTTCTTGTGATGTATTAGTAGATTTTAAGGTCTTGTGTATTTGGCTGATATATGCTGCCTTGCAGTCAGTTATGTTACTGTATTTCCATGTAGTTGGACCCCTGCCATTTGAATTTTTCATTTTCAGTCTTTTCCTTCTCTATTAAATGTTCTAGTTTTGTCCATTTTGTGTTCTTGAACTTTTGGAAAGGAGTTATTTCTAGAGATTTGATTTGGTTTCTCCATCGCCACTTGTATTGAGGGAAAGACTAGGGTGAAGTAAAGTTTGTGGCAGTGCCAACAACCTATAGTTTTGGAATTTAAGGACCCAGGGTTGTGTCCTAATTTGTTTAATAATGATTCCTACTCCACCTTATGTTAATTTTCCTGGTTTTTGAGATCACTTATATTTTTGGCATCTGCAATATCCTGCAGCGAATTCTGCATTTAGAAGATGAATGAGGCAGAGCCAGGAGTTCTGTGGATGACTGGTACAGGAGCTCAGAATTTCCTAGATAAACTGTCAGAGTGGAAAAGAAATCTAAGGCTGGTTTCTTGAGTTTGCTTTAAACTGTGAGGCAATTTCCTAGACTCTGCATTGGCTGTGTGATGAAAGAAATTAAAACATTTAAGAAATTTTCCATTGCTTCAGACATGCTAGCATATTTGCTACGTATAGCTGAAGTGGATTGTTTTCCATCTTCTACACAGCTTTTTCCGCTCTGTGTGCTCCAGGCTAGCATCTTTCAAAGTTGATGATATGTACTCATAGCTGTGATACTACCATTGTTCTCCTCAGATTCTGCCTGACGATCCAGATAAGAAACCCCAGGCAAAGCAGTTACAGACCCGTGCAGACTACCTCATTAAATTACTGAATAAAGACCTTGCAAGGAAGGAAGCACAAAGGCTTGCTGGTGCAGTGAGTAAAATTTGTCATTCATTAGTGAGATAAAACAATATACTTACGGGCATGTCAGCTGATCCTTTTTCATTTTTAGTTCTGCTTTTTTTCTTTGTGTAGTATTACTCTCTTGTTAATCATGTTACAGGAGACTAACTCATGATGTTGATCATGAATTTCATACTTTATTACTATTTGTATGTATTCTCTACTGTGGCACTGTGCTCTGTGTCCAGTCTTGAGAAAAGTGGTGGGCATTAGTGCCAATAAATAAAATAAAATGAACCTTCTATTTGATGTGAAACAAAAAAAACCACCACCAAAAAAACCCAACATCAACAAACCAACAACCAAACCCACACTTGTTATTGCAACTGTGGTGCAAAGATGCTTGTCAGTAGACATATTAAAGAGACCAATTTGCATTCAGGGCAATTCAAAGAGGAGGAAAACAAGAACAAAGAAGAATAAGGTGATAAAGGCTGCAAAAATAAAAGAAGAAATAAAAAGTGACTCTTCACTACAACCCTCGGAAAAATCTGATGAAGATGATAATGAGGATAACAAGGTAAATATCTTTCACCTGGTAAAGATGGCTATTTAGTTTTTCCTATTATAATTTTCTATTGTATCTTCTGCTTGACTTATTAAAATTGAAGCAACTGAATGTCATCCTTTTCCTGTGGCACTACAGTTGATGTTGCATCCGTACAAGTACATGGAAGACTGCATCTAATTTAATTTAATGATAAGCCAGAAACTAAGGAATTATGAATAGTTTTCCAAATTATAATACAAAAAAAAAATGTGCTCTAATTACAAGTAGCAATGCTCAGTTTCAGCACTTGTTAAAGACTTCAGCACTATATCTGCTAGAAATTGAAACCTAATATAACACACAATTATAAAACTACTGTTTGTGGCTAATGTGTTATTACTACTCATAGAGATTCTTCAGGTAAAGTTTTTTTTTTATTCAGGCTCAGGAAGAAAACATCAAGATCAATTAGAATGAGCAGCATAAATAAATGGTATTTCAAGACTTGCATATGAAAGCTCCTGTATATGGCATGGTTTTCTTTACCCCAAAAGACTATTTAACTGACTATTTATACTTGTGTTCTGTTACTTCTGATGTGTTCCTTTGGGCCTGTGCTTTTTTGGATCTCTTTATTTCTAACATCACACAGCAGAAACCACTAGAGATAAAAATTTAGGTAAAGTTTAGGGTCATATCACACCTAATTTTATTACTTTGGAAGCAGTAGAAATAAATCAGTGCAAATCTATATGTATCATTAAAATACATACTACTTGGTTTAAAATAAACTAAATTTCAAGTGTCTTACATAACCATTTTAAACTATTGCAAAGCATTGTAATTGCTCACTCTAGAGGAAAAAATACTTGTGCGAGTACATAGTTAAAACTGAGTCAGCCTTAGAAGAACCATGATACATCAATAAAAAACAGTAATTTTTAACTAAAGCATTCCTGTATGTATTTAAATTGTACTATGAAGAATAAAATGTAAAGCCAGAAAAAAAACCACAAAATCCAATTTTGAATGTAGACTGGCTTATGTTTATAGATAGAAAAACTTATCAGAATGTAAGACTAAGAACTGTAAGTGTTGTCACAGTTCCTGGTAAACTAACATGGATGACTGAACCCTAAAACTAAGCAAATTAAGTGTTCAGATTACCTAAGAGTCTTAGGCTTCACCTCCACTCAAAGTGGAAGACACCGACAGTCAGTTGAATGACTTGTTATCTTTTGGGAAGGTGCCTAGAATGTTGTCCCCTTTTGTACATTTAATAACACGTATCCATCACTTTGATACTTTTGGACACAGACTAACAATTGCACTTCTGAAAACTGGACCGTATACAAAAAGGGGCTTTAACCACCTAAACTGTTGGCTTTAGCTACTTAGCTGCCATACTGTGTACAGTATTTAAAACTTACCTGTTTAACTGCTAGAACATTCAGGAAACTCTTGAAGTCATTGTATTTTTGCTGGGAAGTTTCCATGATACCTAACTGAAGCACTGGTCTGGGTGATTACTTGAAACCTCATCCAAGTAACTTGTTTGAATTCATGTATTTAGGTGTTCTTTCATCTGTTTTTCTGCAATGGATTCTATATATGCCTTTCCAGGGTATACTTCAAATCAATTCATAGAATCATGTAACGGTTTGGGTTGGAAAGATCATCTAGTTCCAACCTCCACTAGACCAGATTGCCCAAAGCCCCATCCAACCTGGCCTTGAATGCTTCCAGGGAGGGGGTACCCACAACGTCTCTGGGAAACCTGTTCCAGTGTCTCACCACCCTCACAGTAAAGAATTTTTTTCCTCATATCTAATCTAAATCTACCCTCTTTTAGTTTAAAGCCATTACTCCTTGTCTTATCACTACACTCCCTGGTAAACAGTCCCTCTCCAGCCTTCCTTTAGGCCCCCTTTAGGTACTGAAAGGCCACAATTAGATCTCCCCGGAGCTTCTCTTCTCCAGGCTAAACAACCCCAACTCTCTTATCCTTTCTTCAGAGGAGAGGTGCTCCAGCCCTCTGATCATCTTCATGGCCCTCCTCTGGACTTGCTCCAACAGGTCCATGTCTTTCTTGTACTGGGGACCCCAGATGTGGACGATTCAAAGGTGATAATAATTCTTGCACCTGTACATAGTACTTTTGTTACTTTTTAGAGTGTTTTTCTGTGTCTGAAAGGATTTGAGTTTCCATCTCAAACCTTGTGAGTATTATGAAGACTGGTAGAGTGGTATTTTGTTCATCTTCAAATAATTAAACGGGCCCCTGTCAGACAATCTATAACTAAGACTTTTTTTTTAAGCCTAGTAAAAACAACATCTCTGGAAGAGAGAAAGTTGAGACTCTGTTACCTTCTTCTGTGAATGTTTAATGTGGGATTGGTAAAAAGTCACTGGGACAAAGCTAACTAGAAAGAGGTCTCCATCATCCCTGTCACTTGACTATCCTCACCAGTTGTTTAGTTTTGCGAGACCTACTTCCTTACACTTTTTAGTTTTTCAGAGCCTAAATGCCTTTTACAGGGACAGAATTCTAAGTTAAATCTAAGTTAAATGGACATAATTTCTCACCCCAACTACCACTGCCAAATCAGTACTTGGTTTGTCACATTACAGGAGTGAGTGAGTAGTTCTCATCGTTCTGTACAACTGCATTCAGTTCTGTTTGATAGGTGTTAAATCTATGTCCAAAAAAGAAAAAAGTGCACGTTTTAATCTGATGGTTAGAAAACTCCTTTAGATAGGAACTCAGTTTGTGACATATATGCTTGCATATTGCAGGATGAGATTGTTTCAGTGAAACATCTGCATAAAAAAATTAAAGCAGAAAAAGAAAATGAAGAAAAGCCTGAGCCAGATATTGGTATAAAGAAGGAAGCTGAAGAAAAAAGAGAGACAAAAGAAAAGGAAAATAAGAGGGATTTGAAAAGGGAGAAAAAAGAAAAAGAGGATAAGAAAGAATTAAAAGAAAAAGATATTAAAGAAAAGAGAGAAAACAAAGTAAAAGAATCCGCACAGAAAGAAAAAGAAGTAAAGGAAGAGAAGGTAACTAGGTTTACTTATCTTATATAGCACTAGAAAAGGCCACTAGGTTTTTTGAATGATTTTGAGATAAAAAGATATTTTGGATCTGATCAGTTGTCATCTCCCTGAAGGCTTGTACATCATTTGAAGTTTTTGTACATGAAACCATGAGGACAGGCATATGAAATGGGAAAATATGTCTTCAATGATATGTGTCTTAGTTGGACTGAGAGTACAAATGTGTGCAAGAAATTGTTTTATTCCTTTTCCATTCTCCTTTTCCATCCCACAGTGAAAGTAAAATGTACTGTCATTGAATGTCAGCATAGTGTTTATTCTTACTGAAGAGAATGCAGTAGTTAAGGGATTGTCATATATTATAGGATAATTCCAGAGCCAAAATAAAGTTTACTTAAATAATTTTGTATCTTGTTCTTAGGTAAATGAAATAAAATCTGAAAATAAAGAAAAAACTAAAAAAATTCCATTGCTGGATACTCCAGTTCATATTACTGCAACTAGTGAACCAGTTCCTATATCAGAAGAATCTGAAGAACTAGATCAGAAAACTTTTAGTGTGGTAAGTCCCTTTTTGATAAGTTAGTGTTTATACTTGATAGTCTAAATGAAGACAATTTCTGATGTTCTTGATGCTGTTGTTGGGCACAGTAACAGAGGTGATCTTTTGCTAGTAAAGTCTCACATCAATGCATGTTATTGACACTGTACTAAAATAATTTTTGTCTTCATTCCAGCAGTTTTACTTTGTTGTTTACTGTATTTATGTAGAATAGTAGGAAAACTTATCCAGTGGTCTGTGTGCTAAATAGATGTATAACATAGACTGGAAAGATATATGCTCAAGAATAACTTGTGTGTGCTTCTTAAAGAGCAGACATGAATGAACTTCAGTGCAATTGCTGCAGTCTCTGGCTTCACCTTATCATATATGCCTTTCTTCTTTGAAGATAAGAGATACTAAGTTTCGGCACTTCCCTCCTGAAGTATTGCAGACTTAAATTAGTAGACACAGGAAGGAACAAAGGCCAAAGCCCTTAGAAATACCTTGTTGGAGTAATCTCTCTGTCACCAAAAGAATTCCATTTAGTCACTACTACTGACTTAGAGCAGAATCAATATTAGAGGAAAAAAAAGTACATACACACAAATTAGAAATTTTATAGGTCGGCTGGGGCCTTTGGAAGGGTATCAATGAGTTACTTTGAGTAGCTACTCTTCTGTGGGTGTTTCATCATTCAGTCTTGGAGTTGTTTGTTTCTACCAGCCAAGTTTACTGGGGCTGTTGTGGGTGCTGGCTGTGACATGCAAGTAAGACTCTCTTGAGTATGACAGTGACGGGTCTACATATGGTTTTATTCTAAACATTGCAAGTAACTCGCCTGTGATGTCCAGGATGAGCCTTAAGTGATTCCGGTGGATATGTTTGTGTGGCTGAGTGACAGAAAATCACTTGATTTCCATGTACAGTTTTATTTTTATCTAATTACTTCTATACTTAAAGCAGTGCACTCTGCAAGCTGTCTGTTAAAGGCTACTTTATGCTGTGGCTAGTGCAATATGTAATGCAGCTGTTTAATTACATAGAGGCATGAGCTCGTGATGGACAGCTTCCCTGATTTTTCTGAGTTGTCCCTAGATGCTTATATGGTAATGGTGATATTCTGATTCATTCCATTCCAAACATTTGTTTTGTTTTTCAAATTTGATTTTATTTTTTTAATCTACAGAGTTCGTTTTGTTCTTACTAGGTGTAATTCTAGGTTGGGTCTCTGTATAGAACAACATTTTTTTTGTCCAGGCTTTTTGTTCTGGAATGTATGTGTATCATTATGCTATAGTCAGATGCAGTCTAATTAGCATATTTAACTACACTTTCAAATGGAAATTACTACTGTGGGTTGTTCAGACTTAACTAATTTGGTTCTTTGTGACAAGGAGAATATGCATTTCATCTGTTCACCATGCCATTGTAGTTAACATGGTATTCCTAAGGAAGTGTCTGTAACTTAAATCATGCTAACTGTTTTTGTCTAGATTTATTAGTAATACATTTGATTCAAAGTGTGAAAATTCAAGAACGCATATATGACATATACATGTTGACATCAGTGTTGTTACTAATCTAAGCATACCCAAACTAGATTCACTCAAGATAACCCAAGTTTTGCTAGTATCTGCACAGGACTGAAGTTTAAAAACTGCTCAGAGAAGCAATGTTGATCCTCTGCTGAAAGCCAGGTTTAATTGTTACAGAAAGCATCTGTTAGAAATGTACTGAATGCTGTCATACTTTATTTTCACATTGAGTTTGTATAGCTTTTGGGGTGGTGCTAAAAAGTGTAAGTCTTGTCCTACATGCTTGTGCTGAAAGTTATGATTGTAAACCCCAGTTGTAATGAGTCTATTTCCTCAGAAAATCCTTTATATTAAATTAGTGCTTCCTTAAATCCTTAATATCTGATTTTATACAATCTAATGGTTTCATAGAGCAGTACATTTCCAACTGAGTTTAAAATTTGTGTAAAACATTTTACGAGCTGTGAGCAAGTCTTGTGTTTCATTTGGCTTGTAACAATATTGTCTTTGTGTGTGTGTGTGTTTGTGTGTGTGTGTATGCCTATATCTCACAGTAAAGGGTGAGTTATGTTTTAGAATTTTTTTTTTTCTTCCCTTGAATTAATACATTCCTTTTTTTTCCATTTCACAGTGCAAAGAAAGAATGAGGCCTGTCAAAGCAGCATTGAAACAGCTGGATCGACCAGAGAAGGGCCTTTCTGAAAGAGAGCAGCTGGAACATACAAGGCAGTGTCTAATAAAAATTGGGGATCACATTACTGAATGTCTAAAGGAGTACACAAATCCTGAACAAATTAAACAGTGGAGAAAGTAAGTTATTCTCCTTCCTTTCCCTTGAAAAAGGAAAATCTACAATTGCTTCTATTAAGCAGAATAGGTTTTAATTATTTCTGCCATTTCTTATTCTCCCTTTCTTGTATCTTTCTGCTGTTTTAAGTAGGAATCTATAAAAAGATGATTATAGATTGTTCTGTCTTTAATGGATTGACTTTTTCATATGGCATAGCAATGCATTTTGTCCAGTAGGTGGAGTCATCTCACTTCTTGTAACTGAAAGCAAACACTAGGTGACTTGTTACTTAAGACTGTTTAGTGGAAAGACATGCTAACCTTTAAGGATGTGGTTTTTTCAACTTTGGTTTGGTTTGGATTTTTTTAAATACCTGCTAAAAGTAGGCAATTCTGAATTTGTGTTGAACATAATATGATTTTTGAGTTGTGGAATTCTTTATTCTTTTTAAAATAGGCTCTAAAATTAAATTACATATTATATATTAACTATGACTTGATAAAAGTACTTAACATACTCAGATGTTTTTCAAAAATGAAAGAAGAGTTTGCATCTTTGAGGTGACAATTTAAAAAACTAAGAAAAATTGTTTGTTTGTAAACCTCTTAGATTTCATTTTTCTGTTCTTAATGCAATTTGAGTTACCTTTATCAGAATGTGTAATTTAATCTTTTATGGTTGAAAATACATCCTGCACTTCCATATGCAAAAGTCTGTTAAGTGTTTCATTTGCTTGAAGACTTTTGTTAGCGTAGAATGCTTCTGCTGTTTTTACTTGCTTTACTTCACACTATTAAGGTGATCTGAGATACAAAACCAAGATCCACGCCTTACATTTTGGTAAATGTTATATTTCTTTAAGTGGAAACTTGTAATAGAGCTATTATTTTAACAATTTACATATAATATTGTAGTGTTATTATGAATATGTATTTCAGCTATCTTTGATAAGAAGTGTAGTTAAGCTACTTAGCTTATACAAAGTTACACAGGTGTCAATAGGCACACCATTGACTGGTTGTCTACTTTTGCAAACCTCTAGACTAAAATTCTAATGTTTAAGTAGTTACAGTGACAGAGCAGCCTGTTGCTTCCTGTGTCTGCACACTTCAGATGCTTCTGAACACTAGTATTCTGTTGTCTCTTTTAGGCATTCCACCTTTAAATTTGACTGAAAGGATTCAGGGCTTTAGATCTGTTACCTGTGGTCATAGAAGCAAATATTTTCTTCAGGGTTTTGTCATCTTGACAGCAAAAAACTTGATTTATTGTTCTTTCATTCCTTTGAGCACAGATGAGGCATGAATTTGTTGTCATGACACTTCCATCCTCTTTCACACTTCTCACTTGATTTCAAAAGCTTTGACCAGGCTTTGGAATTCTGTGGAAAAATTCTCTCACTGATATTTTCGTGAAGTAAGGCTTTTAGGTCAAATGGCTTACACTGTAAGAGACTTCCAGGGGTTTTTTTACTTACTTTACTTACCAGTCAATAAATAAAAAATTGAAATAAAATACTCAAAACTCAAACAAACTTTCAGAAGACGTACTGGTAGCTACATTTTTAAGCAGTTTAACAAATCATTCTGTTAACACAGTTGTTACTAGTAGTACTTTCCATGCACTTTGCACTCTGAAGTACTTTGATAAATATTGCAGTGTGATAAATTGTTAAAGGAATTAATCTTTCAAATGTTTGAAATACAGCTAGGTAATGTTTGCTGTGCAGCTAGGCAATACTGTGTAAACTTTATAGTGTTTCTGGTTTACTTAAGTACTGTTCAAATAATTTCAGTTAAATCCATGTTCTGTTGCATAATACAAGAAAAACAAATGTGTAGAAGTATTATAATTTCTCTTTTTTTCTTCCTCAGAAATTTGTGGATTTTTGTTTCTAAGTTTACAGAATTTGATGCCAGAAAGCTGCACAAACTTTATAAACATGCAATCAAAAAACGCCAAGAGTCGCAGGTAATGTTTTCAGACTTTTTCTAAATACACAAATATATATTTTAAGTATTAGCACTCTTCTATTAGATTTAAAGGATTATAAGAAACACAGAGATACACTTAAAGTAGTATTTGTGGTTTTAGTAGTCTCTTCTGTTAAGATACTTTTCTAATGAATTCAGATGAACTTTGGAATTTAGCAATGAGTTTTTGTACTTATCTCTTTTAGCAACACAATGACCAGAATATTAGCAGCAATGTGAATACACATGTAATTAGAAATCCAGGTAAGAAACCTTTGGTATATTCTTGTGTTAGGTATCTTAGTTTTCATATTTATTTCATTTCACACGTCTCCTAGATCTGTATCCCATGCTGCTATCATAGAGATAGACTGATTAGCAAAACTTTCCTGGTTTGCTGATGAAATCCAGCTGAGTGCAGACTGAAGCTGGTGCTTACTGGTTTTAGTAGCAAATTATTTGACCATCCTTTTAAAAAAACTTTGCAAATATTTTTGATGTTTGTTTGCTCAAACCCTGTAAATTTCTTGGAAATTCTGTGCCTATTTGTCGCTGTTGTAATGTCACTACCTTGTAAGAAAGCAAGGTATTCCTTGAAGTCATGGTCTGTAATTAGTTACATGAGCTGTCTTTTATTGTTGACAATAACACTGATTCTTCTGTGCTTCCACACCTGCCACCTTGTAATACTTGCTTTTATCTTGTATTATGTAACAGTTTGAGTATATTTTCATGGACTTAAAATCAACATATTGTACTTTAAGAATACCACTGAAATTCTTTTATTAACAAGGTGTACCTTTTCACGTTAAGGCCATCCCTTCTTTAGAGAGGAAGTTGCTACCATTCTGTCTAAAATTGCTTCACTAAAGGCACCTCTACTCAGTGCTTATTTGGACCACACTCAGCTTCACAGTCTGAATGGAGAGTTTGAAAAGTTTAGTTTCAAGTCCTGTACATCTGCATTCTAGCTTGCTTCCCTCTTACTTCTGGGTTTCTTTCAGTTCACTCGCATTAGTGTATTTGTCTTTCAACTATATTTAGCTCGTTTCTGTCAAATTGTAATGTCACTTTCATAGTCCTTTACATATGACAGAAGTGCTGTTTGAATTAGGTGAAGAAAAGATTTCTGAGACTTCCTTTTAACCTATGCTTTATTAAACAGATGTGGAAAGACTGAAGGAGAACACAAACCATGATGACAGTAGCAGGGACAGTTATTCTTCTGATAGACATTTTTCACAGTATCACGATCATCATAAAGACAGGCATCAGGGAGAAGCTTACAAGAAAAATGACTCTAGGAAAAGGCCCTATTCAGCCTTCAGCAATGGAAAAGATCACAGGGACTGGGATCACTACAAACAAGACAGTAGGTGAGTTTCTTCAGCAATTTTAAAATCTGTTCAGAATTCCCTTCCTGTTTATGTAGTTTGCTTGTAGCAAGCAGCAAAACATCCTTTGAGTAATGCAAAATTGCAGAGATGATACATCTCTAGTGCAGTTCTGTTGATTTGACGTAATTGTGGTTCTTAATGTGTGTTCAGTAACACTAACACAAATAATTTCTATTTTTTAGATATTACAGTGATAGTAAACATAGAAAGTTAGATGACTACAGGAGCAGAGACCACAGGTCAAACCTGGAAGGAAGTTTAAAAGACAGCCGGGCTCATTCAGATCACCGTTCGCATTCAGACCACAGGATACATTCAGATCACCGGTCCACTTCAGAGTACAGCCATCATAAATCTAGAGATTATAGATACCACTCAGACTGGCAAATGGACCACAGAGCTTCAGGTAGCGGCCCAAGGTCACCATTAGATCAGAGGTCTCCTTATGGTTCAAGATCTCCCCTAGGACACAGATCTCCATTTGAACACTCATCAGATCACAAAAATACACCTGAACATACATGGAGTAGCCGGAAAACATAACAAAGACTGACATTTTCTGGACCTTCTTTTAGCCATATACAGTAAACTAACACAGTAATTGCCTTACATGACTTGAAAGATACGGACTGGATATTCTATCAGTAGCAGTATTGTTACTACTTTCCAGGATGCAAGGTCTATTATCCCAACAGAAGAAAAATATTTTTGTATTTAAAGTTTATGCTGCACTGTGCTGCAAATGTTGTGGCACTCTTTTTTAAGAAATGGAAGATGTTTACTTTTACAGGGACCTCAACACTGCCCCTTTCAGACTGGATCTTACTATAAAACTCTTCATGTCTAAGTGGTTTTAGGCTGAACACGTTTTAAATTATGTTTGTAAATGAACTTCTAAACAGTGATCTGTGCTCATATTTCAGGAAGGAACGAGGAGTTTATTTTGTTCTGTTTCTTAGTAAAGAATTCTCAAGGACTTTGTTCACTTTCCAAAGCTACTTGTTTACATTGTACACTGCGACCACCTTGCCGCTTTTCATCACAAGCTTGAATATTTAAATTCTGTACCTATAACTGTAAAAAAGCCAGGATTTCTCCTGTTTGTGATCAGTTATAATGCCTTTTTACAAAACAAATAATAAAAAAAAGAAAACACACAAACAAATGGCTGTAAATTATTGTAAATTAATTAAATGAGCTTTTTTCCCCCTCAGGCTTTTTCTGACTGTTCCTTTCCCCACCAACTCAGGCTTTCTTGTGACAAGTATGAAACAAAATCAGTGTACTTACATGTTTTAATAACATTTCTTGATGAAATCACTGTTCAGAATGTAAAAATGGGGAAAGGGAACATCTTATTAAATTTAGTGCTTTTTTTATTGGATACTTTGGGCACATGCTTTGGGTTGTCTTTTGGTTTTGTTTTTTTCTTTTTTCCTATTAAACTGTCAGTGTTGTGATTGTTTGTAATGAAATGGTAAGAAATATCCAGCTAAACAGTGCTCTGGGAAGTTTTTTCAGGTGCATTGATTTTAAAGGAGGAGTGTTAAATATCTGAACACTTAAGAATCCAAATCAGCCAAAATTTATTGTAAATCCATTTGTGTTCCCTCTTCAACATGGGCAATAATGTCAATTGTGCTATGCAGTCAGTTAATATTTTAGAAGATTTGAATGACTTTATTGACAGAATTGTTACAATACACATTGATTGTACATAGATAACTTCTATCTGACAAATTAAATTTAAACTAAAAGGATATGTGGGCTCTTGTAGTTTTCTGCTGTGTTTTTCTCTACAGCATTACTTTTTCTCAGGTTTACCCATAAAAACATCAAACTCTTTAAGTACTAAATTTTAATATGCCATGTGATAATTAGGGAAGATATCTTACCTAGCATCATGTGGCTGGAGTTATATCTGTTACTCCAGTTTTTCACTGCTCTTGGAATGTTGAGCATTTTTTTCCAATTAAACAGGTTTATATGAAAGCATTAATATAGAACCAAAACCTGTCCATAGAGTATCTGTTAGGATCTCACTGTAGGCATAGTTGCTGCACATTAATTTTTAAGTTCATTTAATGTAGGCTGGGACTCATCTAATTATTGCTGTTTCATTTCTTAACTGTCCTGGTTTCAGCTGAGAGGGTTAATTTTCTTCAAAGCAGCTAGTATGGGGCTATATTTTGGATTTGTGGTGGAAACAGTGTTGAAAATAGAGAGATGGTTTTGTTATGTAGACCTATTGTTGACCAGTGCTTACACAGAGTCAAGGCCTTTTCTGCTTCTCGCACCACCCTGCCAGTGGGATGGCTGGTGGTGCACAATAAGTTGGGAGGGGACACAGAGAGGACAGCTGACCCAAACTGACCAAAGGGATACTCCATACCATACGATGTCATGCTCAGTTTATAAGGGGCTTGGGGAAGAGGAAGAGGGGGGGTGGCGGCATTTAGAGTGATGGCATTGTCTTCCCATGTAACCGTTACACATGACAGAGCCCTGCTTTCCTGGAGGTGGCTGAACACCTGCCTGCCCATGGGAAGTGCTGAATGAATTAATTGCTTTGCTTGTGTGTGCGGCTTTTGCTTTACCTATTAAACTGTCTCTATCTCGGCCCACAAGTTTTCTTATTTTCACTCTTCCAGTTGTCTCTCCCATCCCACTGCTGGAGGGAGTGAGCAAGCATCTGCATGGTGCTCAGCTGCCGGCTTCGTCTTCTTGGGATCTGGAACGCTTTAGTTGTTCTGCTTTTGAGCTTAACTACTGCAGCAGTTTTTAGGCAGTGGAACAGTGTCTAAGGTTGTGCATGTATGCCATGCATCTTCCAATGGTGAAAATCTAGGAGTATCTCCAAGCGCTGTTTCTTACAGCTTGGGTAGCGGATAGATCAATCAACAGAGCATAGAGAGAGCAGTCCACTAAGTATGGTTCACCATCATTGTAGCTGTATTACAGCATCGTGGCTGAACGTGTCTAATGTGACATGGTTAGTCTGCATCTGTTGTTGCTAAAGGTATCTCAGGTGTCTGAAATAACACAGAAAATACTTACCTGGTGGCCTTGATGATCAGGATCTTTGGCAATTAGTCTACTTAAGCTGTGTTAATTTTTATTCAGTCATACTTACAGATTTACAAAGCACATTTGCAACAGTTAAATTTTTCCCCTCTGGTATAAAGTTTGATGGTGGAAATAGCCTCCATTGTGTATGAGGCTCACTGTTACAGTGTATCTTACTATCTAGGAGAATGCAATATCCTCTGCAAATAAGCCACTTACAATTCCTTTGTCATGTATGTAGATTTGATCCTTCTGTTCATTTGTAGTGGAAAGTCTTCAAGAACTGTGTCCAGTTCCAAAGCATCCATCAGATACTAATGTTGCTGATCCATAAGAGGTTTTGGGAAGTAAGAATTCTGGTGACTGCAAGGGAGTTCCTCGTATGGCTGTTGGTAAAGATTCAGGTGTTCCCTGTACCATGGATTGTAATCTAAGATTTCTGCCTTAATCCTGTTATGTATTTCTAGTATATCATTCCCATTGCTACCTATAAAAAGTAGATTGTTGGTCAGTCTCAAAAGCACATTAAAAAATGTATTGCTTTTATGACTTTTAAGGTTAGAGAAATGCATGCTCTGACTGGTTGCCACTGGTTCATCAGCTGCTGTGTTGGCATCATCATTTACCTGCTCGCAGTCACTCTGTGTTTTCCCCATCTTGATCTCCTGTGCAGATGTCTTGGGGTCTGAGTGGCACAGCTTCTGATTTCTAAGAGCCTTTCACTACTATCAAGAACCGGAGTTGAAAAGGATTCAAGCACCAACCACAAAAGAATGGCAGTTTCTACAGAAATGTGATGCTCCTATAAAAGGAGTGTGCCCCAATTGCCTTTTGAGACATGGACAGCACAGTGACCTAGAGCACTGGTTGCCTAGCCTGAATACCTTTGACGTCCATCTTCCTTCTTTTTGAAGCTTGTTTAGTCCCTGTATGATGTTCTGTCATCAACAAATAGATCTTGTCACTTCCACAGCCCTCACTGTTTAGTTGTGGGTTTCTCACTTTAAGTGTAAAATCCCAGTGAAGTACTCTTGTAGCAATGTATTTTAAGGAGCTGTTTCAGTCTCCAGTATTATCCTTAGTGTTGTGTTCAGTGACAACTCTCTTTTTTTAGTAGGAAATTACCTCACCGCTATTTGGGAAGGTGGCCAAAACTAAGACACAAAAGGAGATCTTCCTGATACAGCTTTTCTTCCTGATGAGATATTTTATTGCAAGTTTTTCCATGATCAAGTTTTATTTCAACAGCCAATTAATTAAATCCTAGCTTCTTTTTCAGTACTATGGCTGAAATGAGATTCTTTCATTTTACCTTTACAGAAATAAATGTAGACAATCTCTTGCTTCTATTAAAGAGTAATAAAGACTATTAAAGTAGGTAACAGGTGGCATGAGTCATCCACTTGTACTGATCAAGGTTTGTTTTACTGAACTGTGTTGGGCCAGATGTGTGGTGCTGTCACTTGTATCTCGTCATTCTTCCAACAAGCTACTATGGTTGCACCTGAAATTTAGGCTTTGTTCTTAAAATTTTATGCTGAAGCTTTTATTTGTGAAACACTCCAGAAGCAGTAGCTAAGAAATACAATTGTGTGAGATGCTGCTAGGAGGAGAAAGAAGAGGAGGTTCATGGAATTCATTATTTGTTTCTTATCCTTTTCATTTTTCTCTGTAGTCTAATTATTATTCTTAAAATACAACTCAAGAGTGGAAGAGTAATGGGGAGCACATTCTGGTCCTTTCATCCCTATACTCTCACACCATATGGGGTCAAAGATCTTCCTTTGGTTATGGCCAGTACTAAAACAAAGAATGTTTCTAGCATGTATTTTCTAACACCCTAGCCCTATGTAAGGCCCTGATAACAAGTGAATGTCACAAACATCCATCTTGACCCAAGCAGGGATAAACTGATAATGAGGGAATGTTGGGGGAATGGCACAGACATCCGTCTCGGCCAAGGACAGAAACTGCGGAGGCAGGATACTGTCTTGTGATCCCCTTCACCTATTCCTGAAACATGTAGACAAAAGACAAAAGTCTTGTGAAAATAACTATTTCTAGACCTAACATAGAAAAATAATTCTGCTTTTTAAATTATTTGTAGCATCTTCATAAACCTATTGTGGAAGCTGCTTGATTTGTTTTACACTAAACCTAAGTCTGCATTAGGCTTTTCATTTATATCAATATAATCCCCACTTAAAATATAGCAGCAGAATACATTTTTAAAAAATCTTATATATTTGTATTCTGTATGATATTTTTAAAAAATTGAATGAGGGCCTTTTACAGAAAGGTGGTAAGTCCTGGTCAAGGGTGTAATTTTCAGTTTACTCCAAAGCATCATTATTTACATGAACTGATAAATACAGAAAATTTGTGTGCATTTATTGTGGATTATCAAGATTGTATTTCAAATTTGTTTTCTTACATTGTATAATACTTATCTTCATGAATCTTAATTGCTCACAGGAAGTTAACTGAGCAACAGTCCTTTGAGATACATAAGTGCTATTTGGATTTTATAAAAGAAACTTAAAAGTGATTATAGGTCTCATGTGTTGCCTAAACATAGAACTAACTGTAACCACACACTACTTAGTCCAAGCTTGATTCATTACAGTCCTTCTTTTATTCTAGTTGTAAGCAAAATGGAGCCATGTAATGGTCTACAATAATCTATATAAATTGTATGTAAGGTAGTTGCTCTCTGAACCTTGTTAGCTGCTTAGTCTTTCTCAGCCTTTGGGCACAGCAAGTAATATGGCCTCGTATGGAAATTCTGTGCACCTGGACCTCTCTTCCATTATGGGACTAACATAGAATATATCTGTTATGCATGTCATGGATGTAGTAATAGTCAGGCAGTGGTAGTCTATTTGACCTAACCCTCCCTGAGTGTTTCCTTGGCAGCATATGTATGTCATCTATTACATGATTGATCAATATCTTCTTTATATTCAATTTGCTTCCCACTGCATGGCCACAAAGGACCCTGCAGCACTTTGAGGAAAGGACAGCAGGACACAGACTGCCAGAACAATTCAGGTCAGTCTTGGGCCACATTTGAAGGGCCTCTGATAAAGAAGTTTGCAAGGACTGGTTTCTGGGCCAGATCTGGATTGCAAACCACAG